TTAAAAGTAGAAAAATAATATTTTCGGAGGAAAAATTAATTATTTTATAATTAGTATTATTTTATAGTTTGAAGTTTGCTAGTACCCGGTGATATCCAAACTGGTCGGATAACATCACGAGAAATAATGAATAGAAAATGTTGTGTTTCTTACTGAAATTTTTATTTATTTACACCTTTAAATTAATACCTAGCTATGGGTACCAAACTAATTATGCATCGAAGTTGCCAGGTACGCAAAACAAAAGTATACCACGGTAGCAATAAAATACATAAGCAAATAATTAATCTAAATGAAGTAAAAGACGTAAACGAGGAAGAATTACATTTCAACATATTCGATGGGCATACGAAACTGTTTTTAATTAATCTCAAGTTAATTAATATTCTTACTTATGTGGAGAAACTTAACTCGACTTTAACACTTCATTTTGCTTATAAAAGATCCGCTGACGCTGAGCTCGTAGGTCACATGTGTGGGTAACCGTGATCTTCTTCTTCTTGAAGCAGAACTATCCAATGTCTATTTGACATTAAAATTACCTTAAAGGGCTACATACTATGAGATAATTTGAAATTAATGTGCTAATTGCTTAGAAAAAAAACTAACTTTCAAATAAAGCATGAAAGCTTTTTTAATTTTCTTAAACAGATTTGCTTCAATTTTTAAAATTATACTAAGCTCGAATTTCAATTTTAATTTTATTTATCTATTTAAATACCACAAAATTAATATTATGCTCTAGATGTTCTTTATTCGTTAACTGTTTCATCTCGCTTAAATTAATAGAGCTTAATCCATTTCATTTTAATAAGCACACTTTTTTAGTTTAAAACTACAAACTTATGTTGTTCGAACAATTAATAACTAGTTCTTGCTGTATTAAATATAAATTAATGGAATAATAAAGTAAATTTAAGTTTAACTACGCGCGTATTACATTACTTATGCTTTGCAACTTTAAGAACTGTTTGGAAATAAAAATAAAAAAATTTAAAGTGTGTCATGTTCGTTGCCAATAACATCATCCCGAAGAGAATATTCACCGTCATACTTAAAATTGCAATTCATGCAATGAGCCTATTTGTCTTATTAAAAAACAAAATTTTTGCTCAATATCAGCAAAATAACCTAAATTTAGTATAATGACGGAAAATGGAAGCGGCATGAGGAGTTAACAAAGGTATTTCAGTAATAAATAATCACAAAAGAAATCTTCGGGAAAGGAAAAATGATGACATTAGCAAAGAAAAGTAATATTTAAGTGAACATTTTCCAATTGGATAAAAACGATCTGTTTTGCTCTGAGAAACAAAAATGAATGCGAATTGATGAATGAGATTCCCTGATTTGTTATGCTCAATCCTTTTCTTCGGAGTTAAATAAAACAACAATTTTTTTTACTAGATAATCAGTTTAACAAAAAATTTGAAATTTAATTTAAATTTGATATTTACTATAACAAATTTTATCATCCGAATAGAGCCTTCAGGCACATACATTTCTGGGGTTCTTCAAATCGTAATTTTGAAACAAACATACATATTGTCGATGGACAACTGATTTTGAATAATTTGAAACATAATAAAGTAGACACAATAAAATAATTTAGGCTTATGCCCATTTTAATTTTTGTTGATTTAGACAGGGCTGCTAACTTTTTACTCTTTTAGTAAAAATTTATTCCAGTGATAGCTATGTTTATGTTTTGATGTATATTTTGTTATTCTTTTAAACTTATTTACCACAACACTACATGCAAATGATTTAAAAGTTCATATGCAACGTCCTTTTATTGCAGATCATTCGTGGTGAGGCTTTTGAAATGTTGCCGAAAATTCTGACAGCTTTAATTTTGAGATATCTAATACTCTATTGAATATTTTGCAAAAAGCGTCGAAGTTGGAAGGCCTGATTTAGAATTCCAGAAACAAATATTAAAGACAAAATTTTTATGAAATTCAAAGGACCACTGCCCAAGCTTGTAAGGCCTTGTAATAAATTAAATGCTTATATTTGGTCATATAACATTATGCTCAAAAGGTATACAATTTATTTTTGTAGATTGTTTGAGTTTGAAACAAAATGCATTTTTTCTTCTTTTGTCACGTTTTGGATTACTAGAACGAAAATGTGTGCTTATTTTTATTTTTTTTTTTTTGTAACTCTTACAATGCTTCCTTAAACAATTGAACAAGCGAATGGAATGAAAATAAAAAATTATAACTAAATTTTGTAAGATATAAAAATTGAATAAATTGTAATTCATTTTTAAATAAAATAAATTGTACTAGGATGAAAACGATATATGTTGAGGTACTACAAAATTTTTTATTGTGTTCGGCAACAAGTGTCTTCCCGACTTCTTGACTCATCTTTAAAAAGTCTTGGGGAAAAAAACATTTAGAAATTTGTTTATGAATTTACAGTAAGGTATTTTAACTTTTTTCTAAAAATCTGTAACAAGAAGAAATATTAAAAAGAATATAGTTCGATTTATGACAGAAAAAGAAATAAAAACTTAAGTTGTTTCATGCAAGTTTTAAACATTGCAGAGCAAGCAAGGAAAAAGTTTGACACTCTGCTTCTTTGCTTCTTTTTTTATTAAACTTTTTTTTTAAAAAAAACATCTATAAAATATTAGTATTTTTTTAAGAAAAAGTGTTTAAAATCATATATATATATATATATATATATATGGCACGGAG